AAAATTCTAGCTATTTTAACTCCTTTACATAGTTATAATTCTCCACCAAGTAGTTTGTTTGTATTTAACATCCTAGAAAAGATGTTTTGAAAATTTTTCTAAGCCATGGTATTTTGACCCCCTGCCATGGTATAATAAACCCCCAACTTTGGCCCCCTAATTCCAAAAATTCTAGCTATTCTAACTCCTTTACATAGTTATAATACTCCAATTAGTATTTGGTATGTATTTAACATGCTGGAAAAGATGTTTTGAAAATTTTACTTAGCCAGGGTATTTTGACCCCCGTGCCATGGTATACTGACCCCTATTTTATTCCTTTAATTTTAAAAATATCTAGCTATTATATCTCCTTTACACAGTTATAATACTCCAGTAAGTAGTTTGTATGTATTTAACATGCTGGAAAAGATGTTTTATAAATTTTACATTGCCATGGTATTTTGACCCCCCTGCCATGGTATATTTAACCCCAAACTATAGACCTCTAATTTCAAAAATTCTAGCTATTCTAACTCCTTTACACAGTAATAATACTCCAAAAAGTAGTTTGTATGTATTTAACATGCTGGAAAATGTTTTGAAAATTTTACTTGGCCATGGTTTTTTTACCCCCCTGCAATGGTATATTGAACCCCCTACTATAGACCTCTAATTTCAAAAATTCTAGCTATTCTAACTCCTTTACACAGTAATATTACTCCACTAAGTAGTTTGTATATATTTAACATGCTTGAAAAGATGTTTTGAAATTTATACTTAGTCATGGTATTTTGACCCCCCCCCCCTGCCATGGTATATTGATCCCCCTACTATAGACCTCTAATTTAAAAAATTCTAGCTATTCTAACTCCTTTACACAGTAATATTACTCCACTAAGTAGTTTGTATGTATTTAACATGCTGGAAAAGATGTTTTGAAATTTTTACTTAGCCATGGTATTTTGACACCCCCCCCCCCCCTCCCTTGCCATGGTATATTGATCCCCCTACTATAGACCTCTAATTTCAAAAATTCTAGCTATTCTAACTCCTTTACATAGTTATAATAGTCCAATAAGTAGTATGTATGTATTTAACATGCTGGAAAAGATGTTTTGAAATTTTTACTTAGTCATGGTATTTTGACCCCCCCCCCCCTGCCATGGTATATTGAACCCCCTATTATAGACCTCTAATTTCAAAAATTCTAGCTATTCTAACTCCTTTACATAGTTATAATACTCCAATTAGTAGTTGGTATGTATTTAACATGCTGGAAAAGATGTTTTGAAAATTTTACTTAGCCATGGTATTTTGACCCCCCCCCCCCCCCCCCATCTGCCATGTTATACTGACCCCTATTTTATTCCTTTAATTTTAAAAAATCTAGCTATTATAACTCCTTTACACAGTTATAATACTCCAGTAAGTAGTTTGTATGTATTTAACATGCTGGAAAAGATGTTTTGAAAATTTTACTTAGCCATGGCATTTTGACCCCCCTGCTATGGTATATTTAACCTCCTACTATAGACCTCTAATTTCAAAAATTCTAGCTTTTCTAACTGCTTTACACAGTAATAATACTCCAGTAAGTAGGTTGTATGTATTAAACATGCTGGAAAGATGTTTTGAAAATTTTACTTAACCGTGGTTTTTTTACTCCCCCCTGCAATGGTATATTGAAGACCCTACTATAGACCTCTAACTTCAAAAATTCTAGCTTTTCTAACTCCTTTACACAGTAATAATACTCCATTCAGTAGTTTGTATGTTTTTAGCATGCTGGAAAAGATGTTTTGAAATTTTTACTTAGCCATGGTATTTTGACTCCCCTGCCATGGTATATTGATCCCCCTACTATAGACCTCTAATTTCAAAAATTCTAGTTTTTCTAACTCCTTTACACAGTAATAATACTCCATTCAGTAGTTTGTATGTATTTAACATGCTGGAAAAGATGTTTCGAAAATCTAAACTTAGTCATGGTATTTTGACCCCCCTGCCATGGTATATTGAACCCCCTACCATTGACCTCTAATTTCAAAAATTTTAGCTATTTTAACTCCTTTACATAGTAATAATTCTCCACTAAGTAGTTTGTATGTATTTAACATGCTCGAAAAGATGTTTTGAAAATTTTACTTAGCCATGGTATGTTGACCCCCTTACCATGGTGTATTGAACCCCCTACTATAGACCTCTAATTTCAAAAATTCTAGCTATTCTAACTCCTTTACACAGTTATAATACTCCAATTAGTAGTTGGTATGTATTTAACATGCTGGAAAAGATGTTTTGAAAATTTTACTTAGCCATGGTATTTTGACCCCCCCCCCCCCTGCCGTTGTATATTGACCCCTATTTTATTCCTTTAATTTTAAATAAAATGCTCCGCTGGGGCGCAGCTTGATACGACCGCAGAAGTCGAACCCTGAACAGTTGGGGCAAGAATGGACACAACATTCAAGCTTGATACAGCACTGAATTTGGATTGTAATTAAATATTTGACACAGCATAGGTTTCTGAAACAGAATGAATGTGGTCTAAGAAATTATAAAAAAATCTAATTTACCTATTCAAACCATATCATTATTATTTGCTTTTATATATAAATCAGAAATAACCAATTTAAAATGGAAAATTTTAAAGAAAAAAAAACGAAAAAAAAATCCTCCCCCCCCCAATTGTTTGAACCCCCTTATGATTCATCACCCCCAAACTCAATCCCAGCATTCCCTTTGTAGTATGGTACCTTGCAGTACAATTTCAGAGAGATCCATACAATTGAACACAAGTTATTGTCTGGAAACTAGAAAAATGCTTTTTTTTTGGCCCCTTTTTGGCCTCAAATTCCTAAACGTTTAAGGCAATTACCCCCAAACTCAAACCCAGCTTTCCCTTTGTGATATGGAACCTTGCAGTACAATTTCATAAAGATCCATACACTTACACACAAGTTATTGTCATGAAACTAGAAAAATGCTTGTTTTTTTTGCCCCTTTATGGCCCCTAATTCCTAAAATTTTGAGGCAATTACCCCCAAAATCAATCCCAGCCTTACCTTTGTGGTATGGTACCTTGCAGTACAATTTCAGAGAGATTCATACACTTGAACACAAGTTATTGTCTTGAAACTAGAAAAATGCTTATTTTTGGCCCCTTTTTGGCCCCTTATTCCTAAACGTTTTGGGCAATTACACCCAAACTCAATTCCAGCTTTCCCTTTGTGATATGGAACCTTGTAGTACAATTTCATAAAGATCCATACACTGACACACAAGTTTTTGTCATGAAACTAGAAAAATGCTTGTATTTGCCCCTTTTTGGCCCCTAATTCCTAAAATTTGGAGGCAATTACCCCCAAAATCAATCCCAGCATTCCCTTTGTGATATGAAACCTTGTGGTACAATGTCAGAGAGATCCATACACTTACACACAAGTTATTGTCTGGAAGTTACAAAAATGCTTATTTTTGGCCCCTTTTTGGCCCCTAATTCCTGAACTGTTGGTACCATAACCCCCAAAATCAATCCCAACCTTCCTTTTGTGGTATTGAACCTTATGGTTAAATATCATAGAGATCCATTCACTTAAACTAAAGTTATAGTGCGAAAACTAATCTGTTTTCGGGCGACGACGACAACGACGACGATGACGCCAACATCATACCAATATACGACCGCAAAATTTTTGCTGTCGTATAAAAACTGCAAAATTTCCTTAAAATTACCAATTTAGTGGCAGCAACCCAACAATGGGTTGTTAGATTCATCTCAAAATTTCAGGGCTGATAGAACTTGACCTAATGAACATTTTTAAACTGTCAGATTTGCTCTAAATGCTTTAGTTTATGAGATACTGTGGATTCATTTATTTTCGTGGGTACCAATTTTCGTGGATCAAGGAAAACTTTTATGTTCGTGGATATTTAATTTCGTGGTTTTTTCTATGTCTGCATACAAGCCTTTCGAAAAGTTGTCATTCGTTGAACATTTAATTTCGTGGTTCACCCATAGCCACGAAACCCACGAAAATTGGTATCCAACGAATAATAATGAATCCACAGTATAAGCAAAAAACTGCATTTTACCCCTATGTTCTATTTTTAGCCATGGCGGCCATGTTTTTCGACAAAACAGAAAATAAAACACAAACTTTTTTTCTAGATACCCTAAGGATCATTCAGCTTAGGGTTGGTTGGAATTGGTTTAGTAGTTTCAGAGGAGAAGAATTTTGAAATAGTTTACACCGGACAGACGACGACGCCAGAGGACACCGGACGCCAAGTGATGGCAAAAGCTCACCGTTCCTTTTGAACGGTGAGCTAAAAAGACAGTAAGTACAGATCAGGGAGTACTCGCAGTTACTGACAGCTAGTCTAAAGCCAATAACAACTGCAATGAGCAGGCCTTCAGATTTCCACTATCTATTAAGGTTTTCAAGATATCAGACAATAAATGCATATTTAACCCTAGTATGTTCTATTTCTAGCCATGGTATCCATATTTATAAATTAGCAGGAACAAAATGCACAAAATTTATACTAGATACCCTATGTATTATTCAGTTAGAGTGTGGTTGAAATTTTTCCTTTTGGTTCAGAGAAGATTTTTGTTTAAGTTTACGACCACAACCAACAATGATGATGGCAAAAGACAACGAAAATTGAAAAAACCACTCAAATTCAATGAACAGATATAAGACAATATACACAATAATTTTCAGTAGCCTAAAACAATATTAATCAAAGGTAAATTTAAAATGGAAGAGAAAAGTATGAAATTCTTGATGAATATACATGTATAAACATAAGAGAGTAAAAATTATAAATATATGGAGATGTGGTATGATTGCCAATGCAACAACTATCAGATAACCAGATTCCAAATGACATGGATGTTAGCAATTGACACCATGGTGTACCTTAGTTTACCTTCCCCTTATTTCAAGTAAAAACTTAAACAATAAATCATTCAACATATTCAAACAAGCAAAGCATCATGATAGCTATACCTTTATAGAAGAATCCAGCACTGGCCATCTTTTGTATAGATGGGCTGTTTAGAGACCATTCAGTAAAACTTTGTTCTCTAACTCTTTTCTTAGAATATGCTGGAAATTTTCTTGAACTGATTGCATATTCTTCCTCTTGATTTGGTTTTGTAATCTGACATTCACTATTGGAAAGAGCACCCTCCTCCTGTTGGGAGGACACAATAGATCTCTCTGTATCAGCGGCATGAGATGTTTCCTTTTCTTCATCATAAGATTGTTGTGATTGTTGTGCTTTACAACCACCCAGCCTTGTAAAGCTTGTTACAATTACTGGCTGTTGGCACTCCTGAGGTGTGTGTGATGTACCAGGTGAGCGTTCTATCATTTTATTATCACATAATACTGTAACTTGGTTGGACAGTGCTTCGGTTTGAGAAATATATGATGCATTCCCTGTTGTTTCTATATCTTCAAATGGTACTGTAATAAATAAAAAAAAATGAAATCAATATTATAAAGAATCAAACATGAAATCTGGTGCATTCAATGGAACTTTAAAGTTTCTCTCATTTTCTTTGAACAGTCAGGGATAATATCTACATAAGTGATTTTAATATCGCTTATTTTAGCAATGTTTAGCAATTTGAAAATTTCAGTAATTCCCTGTTTCCTTTGATCTTCAAATATAGATTTCATGAATTTTCCACTAAATGACAATTTCTCTGTAATTTGTACTTATAAGATGATTTTAAAGATTCTGTGTAAAATTTCATTAACATTTTCAATTTCAAAATGCCATAATTACTGAAAAAGGGGTCCTGAAATCACTTCTTTAAGTCATACCCCTGAGTCCGGGCCCTGACTGATGAAGTGTATTGTTTGTCAACATAAACAAAAAGCTTATATCATTGTATATTGTGAATTCATCTTTAACTGGATATATAACCAAATTGTACAGGAAAATTATGCAATGAGAAGGCAGGATTTAGTCAGACAGACATATACTCATCTTAACAAATCAACAAACTAAATATCTCTTACCTATCATGAACAAACTTAGGTCACACAGTGCCACGCTCGCACTATCACATTACCATGTTAAATTAACATGATAAATCTGCCAAAAACCCTAATTTAGAATATATATATTAAACAGTTCACTTTATGTGGTTAAACAGCAACATAATCAATCAATCAAAATGAGCATGTGTACTAAGTATCAGATTCATGTAACCACAAACTATCTAACACCAAATTTGTAACTTCCTTAAACCAAAACTAACCTGCTATAGTATTGACAAATTGACTAACGGTTGCACAGACTAGAAAGCATATGCCCCTATGCTATCGTAGGCAGGGCATACAAATTTTATCAACAGGTAATTAATTCTTCATCCATTATATAACCTAAGGGACTTGTAAGAAAAGCCAAAACTTTAGCTAACTTTGCCTATAAGAACTGCAACATTATTTTAGCAAAGTTAATAATAACTGTCAGCCCAGAATTTTTCAGAATATATGTGATAAATCATTGTCCATGTCAAAACACTAACCACATGGGGAAGATATATTTCATCACTTAATGTCCAGCAGCTGTGGTCATGAACCAAAAGCAAAATGAATAAAAAATGACCACACAAAATGTTCTGTGTTTCATGCACATTTAAGGACCTGTATGCAATTTTGATAGTTTACCAGTAATGCAAGTAATATTAAAACAGCAGCACTTAAACATATAAACTATGCAAAACTTTCAAAGTCAATGAACCATGACTAAGGGGGTAGGACCATGATATAATCTTTGTTAATGAGATAGGCTAGTGCTTATACAACTGCATATTACCAGTAAATGCTATTGACAAACTTTAAAATGTAAACTATGTGAAAGTTTTAAATGACAATACACTATGAATGAGGGACTATTTTATATACTCTATATCCTTGAATTACCATCAGCAGCACCTCTAAAACAGACTTCATCACAAACTTAAACACATTTTTAATTCCCCAGTCAATACTCTTTAGTGTTTAAACCATTTTGCTAAGAAACTTTAATCTGGTTAAACATTAGCTTCGAATGGACATGTAATCATTTGTCAGTGCCTAGTTAAAAAATTATAATACCAATCAGCAAGTGTCCTTATCATTATTTAAACGCAGTTGGCATTGTGGTTTCAATGAAAAGAATTTTTAATTTTTAACACTTAGAATTAAGAATCAAGAACATTATGCCTATAGTAGCATTTTCTTTTGTCATATTGTCAAATAAGCATTATGTTTTTAACAGGAGTTTACAATTATCCACAAACACATGGACAATTGAAAGTGTTCACCCACAACTTAATATGATTTCACAACTTGACCACTTACCTTCATTTGATGGATGATGACATCCATTTGCTATATTTGTCTGCTGATTGTCAGTACCATTTGTTTTGTAAGGTGGTACAGGATTGTATCGTACCCCATCATATTGATCTGAAATACCACAAACTCATACAATGCCTTTTATAGCTATCTTTACAGTATTGGGGTTCTTCTAATTTTTGAAGGCTGTATGGTGATCTATATATTGTTTATTTCATGTCCACTTTACTGTAGTGGATAGTTGTTTTATTGGCAATCATACCACATCTGCCTTTTTTTGTATTCAAGTTGATGAGACACAAACTTTCTTCAACAAAACCATATCATGTGAAATCTAGGTCAAAACCTTAATTTATCATACATATTTTAAACCAATTATAATAAGTTTGTGTACTAAGTTTGAATTTGATGTGACAGTCATAATAGGACACATAAGATAGGTGGGGCATATAAACAGAAAAGTTTCAATATTGGAGATTTACCAAAATTGTGCCCTTATAATTCCAGATCTATATCATTATGCAGATCTTAAGTACAAAAACATATTCCACATAGTTTGATATTTAAATCTTAAACTTGCAGTGAGATGAGTTTTTTTGCTCATGGTTGAAGACCTCAATGTGACTTTGAGATGAAGAATAGCAATTAAAGCGCTGTTCCTTTGCTTTTTGTGTGTTTTTTGCTGTGCATGTACTGATTTTGTTTCATGGACGGATATCCTATTTCTTTTATTTTTCTATTCTATTCTGTTAACATAAAATCCTGCATATTGGATCCTAAATTAAACAGTCTCTTAAATTTTAATTATTATAAATAAAGATACTTTTAACAGGGAAACTTACCTATATTTGTCTGCTGATTGTCAGTATCATTTGTTTTGTTAGGTAGTACAGAAGTATATCATATCCCATTAAATATTTTGCATTATGGTTTTAAAGAAAATAAATTTGAATGTTAAACACTTAGAATTAATAATAAAATAATCTTCATGTCTATATTGGCATTTATTGTTTCTTTCGTCATATCGTTAATTCAGTATGATAATTAATATTATTGAGAAAGAAGTTTGCAGATATCGACAAATAGATGAAAATACTGTGAGTGTAAAACCGCAACTTAATTTGTTTTCACAACTTGACCACTTACCTTCATTTGATGGATGATGACAACATCTATTTGCTTCATTATCAATTACTGTAATGCAGAATAAAACTAATCAGCCTTGACCTCAAATAGCCCCAAAACTTTAAAACAATTCTTATTGAAAATTAAAGTTAGAGATTTATATAATGACTATTCTATAACTGAAAGTGTATGAATCACAAATAAAGTACCATTATAGCATTATGATAATGTGCTCCAATATTGGAGTAACATGCATGCAAAATCTGAAAAATACTGAAACCTCTCATCGAAGGATTTAAGGAAGAAAAAAAAAAACCTTGCCCGAGTAATAAAATTGTAAATATTACCATGTTAATATATAATATTTAGTCTTTTGACACTTGTAGCATTGAAAATGTATGAGCCACAACATGTGAAATTGACAAGTTTTTTTTTAAGAATGCATCAATTTGAGTCAAAGCATTTTTTTTAATTTCTTTGTCAGATATAGTTAAAAATTTATCAACATTAAACTGTTTTTTTTTCAATGCACAGATGTAGTATACTTTTGTTCCATGTATAGAGCTTCTCACTGAGACTTTAATATGTAGAACAGCATTTGGTTAATTTAAGTGCATGTCAAGGCATAATTTACCATATCCCATCCCACACATTAATTCTTTAATTAGCCCGTAAAACTTCAAAGAAAGAAAAAAATACAGAAAAATTGGATGTGTCCATATGTCACCATGTCCTGCTCAAACGTCTACATAGCATGTGTGCTATATTTCACATTCGGAATGTGCCTGTTCTGATTCAGTGGTTGTTGTTTGTTGCTGTCTGTTAACATGGTTATAAGTGTTTTTGTTTGGTCTTACATCAGGCTGTTGAACTTTTTGGTTGAAAAAAAAATCACATTTTGTCATGTCAATGCTTTTTATAGCTATCTTTACAGTATTCGGGTACTTCTAATTTTTGAAGGCTGTATGGTGACCTATATATTGTTAGTTTCACATCCATTTGACTGTGGTGGATAGTTGTTTTATTGGCAATCATACCACATCTGCCTTTTTTGTATTCAAGTTGATGAGACACAAACTGTCTTCATGGTCTTAATCAAAACCATTTCATGTGAAATCTGGGTCAAAATTTATGATATATATTTCAAACCAATCACATCATATTGAATATGTTCAGTAATTTTGAAGTTGATGTGATGTACAGAACAGGAAACATAATATAGGTGGGCATATTAGCAGAAAAGTTTAATTTGGGGTATTTACCAAAATGGGGCCCTTATAATTCCAGATCTATATCACTATAAAGATCTTAATTACAAGTTTGATATTTACACCTAAAACTTGCAGTGAGGCAAGTTTTTTTTCCTAGTTGAAGGCCTCACGGTGACTTTAAGATGAAGAACAGCAATTAAATCGCTGTTCCTTTGCTTTTTGTGTGTTTTTTGCTGTGCATGAATTGATTTTGTGTCATGGATGGATATTCCGTATCCTCTGTTTTTCTATTCTATGCTGATAACATAAAATCCTGCATATTGGATCTCAGACCTGAACAGTTTCTTAGATTTAAGGAATTAAGAATCAAGATGCTTTTAATACGGAAACTTACCTATATTGGTCTGCTGATTTTTAGTACCATTTGTTTCGCGAGGTGGGACAGGATTATATTGTACCCCATCATATTGATCTGAAATACCACAAACTTATATAGATATAAAATTTTAACAGACCTTCTTAGTAAAAAAGTTAAACACATTCAATAAATGTTTGATTGTTGGTTGCTTAAAACAAAACTGCAAACAGATACAATGTATTTAAATAAAGCAAACAAGAATGCAAGTGGAAAATTGGGGCTGGGTTTAGTCAGACTAAATCAACATATGGAAAAATTCAAAGTACAATTCATTGACAAACAGGATGCAAAGAGTGTTCACACAATACAACTCATTAAAGCACTGTGATAACTCATTTGCTGCTGACAAAATATGAAGTCATTCTAATTTGTAGTATCAGAGAAAAATATTTGTTAGACCAATGAACAGATGAACAGAAGAAAAGATAGATGGACATGTACAAGGCGAAAGCAACATAGTCCCTCTCCTAGAGTGGAGGTATCATATAATCATCATACCAAATTCATTGTGCTTATAGAACCAGGGCCATTCAATATGTTCAAGATGAAAGTATGGGAAACCAAATACATAAAAAGTGTTTGGTCCTAAACAATTATCTAATTGCTTGTAAGCACTGAAAGGTAAAGATTGCTTTAATTTTTCAAGGAGAAGTAAAATTAAACACTACATTGTAATAAATTGCTTCGCTGAGCGCAGCTGTATACGACCGCAAATGTCCAACCCCGAAAAGTTGGGGCCGAAATGGACACAATATTCATGCTTGATACAGGTCTGAATTTGGATTGTAATTAAATTTTTGACATATAATGTTTCTGACACAGAATAACTGTAGTCAAAGAACTTCAAATTGGTTATATGATTTGAATTCATATTCATTTTTTTGTTTTTGTGCAATACACTATGTTAATTGACTCCCGCCCCCCCCCCCCCCCCCCCCCCCCAAAAAAAAAAAAAAAAACAATTTACCCAGTTTTTTTTTGCGTTTGTGCAATACACTATGCTGTTGAATATTAACCCCCCCCCCCCCCAAAAAAATCTTGGAAGACATTTTCTTTTAATTTCTGAAATCTGAAATGAGAAAGATTGTCCCCCTCCATTTTTTTTTCACCTCCCCCTTTCCCTTATTCCAAAAAATAATTCTTTCCCTCAAGTTATGCTCAGTATCTCAGGCAATCATCATTTCTTAATACATAATTTACAAGCAGTGTAAGGGAGGTAATCAAACATTGTTATTAAAAATTGATTTGGATTTTGATTTGGATTACCTCCCTTACACTGCTTTAAAATTGTCTCAATTGTCCTTTAACCAGAAAAACCCTTGTTTTTCCCCTTTTTTTGCCCCTAATTCCTATATGGTTTGAGCCATAACCCCCCAAAATCAATCCTAACCATCCCTTTGTAGTATGGAAACTTGTGGTATAATTTAAGAGATTCATACACTTTAACACAAGTTATTGTCTGGAAACTACTAAAATGCTTATTTGGGCCCCTAATTCCTTAACAGTTCGGACTATAACCCCCAAAATCAATCCCAACCTTCCTTTAGTGGTTATAAACTTTGTGTTAAAATTTTATTGATTTCTATTTACTTATACTAAAGTTATTATCCTGAAAACATCTGTCTTCGGACGACGCTGATGAAGACGACGACGACGACAACGTGATACCAATATACGACCAAAACATTTTTAATTTTTGCGCTCGTATAAAAACATTGGTTGTAGTTGATTCAACTACAATTATATATGAACAAAGGAAGATAACTCAATTTTTACAGATTACTTTATATCACATCATTGATATTTTTAGAACAGATATTTAGATTACTGCACCTTGCACAAGTTATGTAATTTTAAAAAATTTCTTGACAAGTATAACATCATTTTGTAACTTGAATACCCGGGCATATATTTCATTGATAAATTTCTGAAAATGATCATGGATAGGATGTTTAGAATATTATTATCAATGTATTATATTTTTGTATCTCAAAAGTAGTGATAAACCTTGGTAGATATAGAAATCAAGTCAGTACCATAGGGTTTTGATTGCACTTGATTTGATAATTTCACTTTTGTCTTTTCACAGAAAAAATAATGTTGCAAACTGATTGGTCATATTTTGTGTACAAAGTATTCATTGTAATATTGAGAAAAAAGGAATTTCAAAAGTATTCCATGCTTCAGAGCTTCATATGGTGCTGAAAATCCACAAAAAAACTTACCTTCGGCATTCTGAGGTTCTCCATTACATTTACAAATTTCAGTTACCATCACCAGTTGACCTCTTTTGTACAATATATATATAACACATACAGGTATAACAATAAATATTAGAACTGCAAACACTATGCCAAGTCTGAAAACATTAACTTAAACTAAGTTACAAACATAAACAAGAGAGTCAAATCCGTAAATCCAGCAACATATGAGACAGTCAAGGGATTCGAAAAAACCCATGACTTTAATTTGGCTTCAAGCTGAACTTGAAAACTTTCTTATCCCTAACATTTATGGTAAAACATAAACAAATATGCATATGTTGAAGCCAGTACAGTCACCTATAGTTGCTTACTAAGTCTACAACAGTTGGTCTCTCGTGAAGAGTTGTCTCATTAGCAATTATACCACATCTTGTTATCTTTATATATATATATGTGCAGTTCTGCATATATCAGATTGTAGCAGGATTTTCTAAATTGCATCTGCTTTAAACAACAAAGAAGATTAATGATAAACAAATATACATGTATGACACCACATTTCCTATGAAATTATCTTCTCTTCTTTTGCAGCAGATTTTAGCTGTATATATTAATTTTGGCAAGAATATAACTTGCCATGTAACAAGTTTATGACGTACCATATTTTAAGCCTGGTATCTTTGACAAGTATTTTTTTAAAACCTGATCAACTATTTGTAAGATGTCTTTAAAATATATGTCTTAAAACAAGATTTGATGGTTTATGAAACATCCTAATGAAGAACAGACTGTATAATCTTTGTTTTTGTTTGGACAACATTTAAATCACACTGCATCAATCCACTATTAAAGCATTTGTTATCATGTTATGACATAACAAATGAAATACATGTATGAGAATATAGGAACAAATAATAAACAAAAAGTTGCATGCTTTGTGCATGGCTTTGTGTGGATATAATAAAATTGCAAAGTATACTAAAACTGGAAGTTTATGTCCAGTAAAGTTCAGAATATAGCTTGAACTCAACACAATAAAGTTCAAACCCAAAAATAGAATATTTCCTTAAAATAGAATGGTATAGGAACAAAGGAATGTACAAGTTGATTGCATAATAATACACTCTCTTTGAGTGTATGTATTTGTATTTCAATACATGTTTTACTCCTTTTCCTTGTTTAGTTGTCACCTTAAGGGCGTATGATACAGTTACAGGGGAGGTAATGACGTTGCTAACGTAAAATGTTATTTTTCGCGACGTCAAACCGCGACATTTCAGGAAAAGATGCATTTTCGAGTGATTTTAATCATTACCTTGAAAAAAGTACATGGACCCCTCTTTTTTAAAATGACATTTGACTTGATACTTTATGAAGATTATTTGTTCCAATTTTTATGAAAATGTCAACCGATAATTTTTTTAAAAATTAGATAAATATGCAGCTAAAAAGGCTGTTTTTTTCTAAAATCATGGAAAGGACAAGGAGCTATAAGGGCCATTTTTGGCCCCATCCCCAAATTGAATTTGTCATGTTGTAACTCTATAGCAAAGACCTTCTAAAAATGATGGCATTTTGGGTCTATCTCGTATATTCTGTTGCCTAGCACCCAGTAAATTGGTGGAGATTAACTCATGAAATATGCTAAATAAACAGCTTAAACCTATTTATGTTTGAAATCAAACCTGTCAAACATGCAGTAAATTTTACACTGTTTAAATGTAACGCAATTGAATGTACATTTTTTGGCAAAATCATTGTAATTTCTCCCTAGCAACAAGTGTTTGCCCAAAGCAACGACAATTTGTTTTCTATTTAAAAATATTTACTTTTGATTAATTGCAACAATAAGACTATTCAAGTGGCACATTGTAAAAAGTAACAAACTCCAAAGTATATGTAATGGATAAAAATAAATACTGAAACATCAACAAACAAAACTACAGACAAACAACAGTACCAAGTAAAAAGAATAGCACTTCTAAAGTCCATCTGTGGAGTAAAATAATGTACCATTATCCTTACGGTGAAATTGCTGGTTTTACATTTTTTCATGAATCAATACGTGTACATCTTATATATATTCTGATAATTATACCAAGTATTGCTGATATAAACAGATTTTATATCTAGAGCTGGGTGCAGTCCTTTTAAGTTTGTAATTACCCCTCTACTGGGTCTCACTAATTAGCGACAAGAAGAATAATTTTACGACAAGAAGACTAATATAACTCTAAGAAATCTTAATATTAATTATCTTAACTAAGAATTAATATAGAAACATGCATTAGAGGGTGTTTCTTTTAAATATCTGTTCATGACAGTACTTATGTAGAGGGTTGACAGGTTGACATTTTCAAAATTCAAACCATAATATAAAATTAACTTAATATCTCTATTTATTTCAGACTCAAAAGGAACATACATCTGTACATATAGCATTACAAAAACTGTTACGTTCTATTAAGTAATACAAAATTTGAAACCTTTTTAAACAACAGATAATTAGATGTAACTAATTGAGTTTTTCTATTAATTTATTGTTTTGATAGTATATAAAGTGTCTTGCCGCTAAATTTTTCTTCTTGTCGCATTTTTTTTCTTCTTTTCGCTTATTGTTTTCTTCTTGTCACTAAAATACTTCTTGTTGTTAATAAATGGGTCCGTCTGCCGTGGCGGAGGGGACATTTAACGATTAGTATCGGGTCTGTTCGCTCCCAAAACACATTCACCTTCACCCCATTGGTTGGTTCGCACCCTATATGTTCGGACTTTATTTTTATTCAAATACAAGTTGAATTATTAAATGTGCATTTGTATTTTCAGATGTATAAAAAATTGTGAATTTTGGATGAAATAATGTTTTGGGTGATTAGATGATTAATTGTTTATGATTATTATAATTGTATTTATTTTATTTGGTATTATTGCAATGTGTTTGAAATCAGGATAGCTCTTATAACAATAAAGAATTGAATTGATAGTGGTGAAATGTAACATACAAGCATACAAGTAGTTTGGCTTCGTTGGAGTTTGGTAGGAGTAAGCATAATGAGGATTTTAAATAGACAACATGTAATATAATTGTTTTTAACATGTTTAACAGCTTCACCACTTTTTCTCATACGCGTGTGTATTTGGACAAGTATGATATACAACAAGGCTAGAAATGGTAGAGGTTGGGTCCTTCATATGTGTATTCTTTAAATTTTTCTCTATTCTCTATATATATTATTTGACTAATTCATTGTTGTCACTGTGACTAATTTAGTATTTGTTTGGAATCTTCCACCTTTCTTTTACAAGTCTAAGAGACGTATGACTTGGCGTTTGCTCATTATGACATTATTCATTATTTATAATGTCAAAATAATTTACAAATCAAAACCTGTTTACATTTTTAGAATTTCACTTTATTTCTATATAATAAGAACACTTATAATCTTTATTTTATAGTACACTTACTAAAGCATGATTAAATAAAATGCTCCGCTGTGGCGCAGCTTGACACGACCGCAGAGGTCGAACCCTGAACAGTTAGGGCAAGTATGGACACAACATTCAAGCTTGATACAGCACTGAATTTGGATTGTAATTAAATATTTGACACAGTATAGGTTTCTGACACAGAATGAATGTGGTCTAAGAACTTAATTTTTTTAATTTACCTATTCAAACAATATCATTATTATTTGCTTTTATATATCAATCAGAAATAACCAATTTAAAATGGAAAATTTTAAAGAAAAAAAGGGAAAAAAAATCCTCCCCCAAATTTTTTGAACCCCCTTACTCAATCCCAGCCTTCCCTTTGTGGTATGGTACCTTGCAGTACAATTTCAGAGAGATCCATACACTTAAACACAAGTTTTTGTCTGGAAACTAGAAAAATGCTTATTTTTTGGCCCCTTTTTGGCCCCAAATTCCTTAACATTTAAGGCAATTACCCCCAAACTCAAATCCAGCTTTCCCTTTGTGATATAGAACCTTGTAGTACAATTTCATAAAGATCCATATACTTACACACAAGTTATTGTGCTGAAACTACAAAAATGCTTGTTTTTTGCTCCTTTATGGCCCCTAATTCCTAAAATTTGGAGGCAATTACCTCCAAAATCAATCCCAGCCTTCCCTTTGTGATATGGTACCTTGCAGTACAATTTCAGAGAGATCCATACACTTGAACACAAGTTATTGTCTCGAAACTAAAAAAATGCTTATTTTTGGCCCCTTTTTCCTAAATGTTTTGGACAATTACCCCCAAACTCAATTCCACCTTTCCCTTTGTGATATGGAACCTTGTAGTACAATTTCATAAAGATCCATACACTTACACACAAGTTATTGTCCTGAAACTAGAAAACTGCTTGTTTTTTGCACCTTTTTGGCCCCTTATTTCTAAAATTTGGAGGCAATTACCCCCAAAATCGATCCCAGCATTCCCTTTGTGATATGGAACCCTGTGATACAATGTCAGAGAGATCCATACACTTACACATAAGTTATTATCATAAAACTAGAAAAATGCTTGTTTTTGCCCCTTTTGGCCCCTAATTCCTAAAATTTGGAGACAATTACCCCAAAAATCAATCCCAGCATTCCCTCTGTGATATGGAACATTGTGGTACAATGTCAGAGAGATCCATACACTAACACACAAGTTATGTCTGGAAGTTACAAACATGCTTATTGTTGGCCCCTAAATCCTTAACTGTTGGTACCATAACCCCCAAAATCAATCCCCACCTTCCTTTTGTGGTTTTAAACCTTATGGTAAAATTTCATAGAGATCCATTCACTTAAACTAAAGTTAGAGTGCGAAAACCAATGTGTCTTCAGACAATGAAGACGACGCCGGACGACAACAATGACGCCAACGTCATACCAATATACGACTGCAAAATTTTTTTGCAGTCGTATAAAAATTATTCAAAACATAACCTTAAATAATAAAATGCTCCGCTGGGTGCAGCTTGATACGACCGCACAGGTCGAACCCTGAACAGTTGGGGCAAGTATGGACACAACATTCAAGCTTGATACAGCACTGAATTTGGAATTGTGATTAAATATTTGACACAGCATAGGTTTCTGACACAGAATGAATGTGGTCTAAGAACTTAAAATTTTTTAATTTACCTATTCAAACCATATC